CCACGCGACCAAGGGCAGTGCAAACGGCCAGAATTCATCGTCCGAATTCGCGGACAGTGCAAAAGGTCCCGATCCAGCAAGTCAGACATCCCAAGCAGCCATCCCAAGACAGAGACACACCAACTGGGCGGACTTTTCGAGACGGAGTCCGAGATTGAGGTAGGCTCTCCACCCTATGCCGTCAAAAATTGACATTGGAACTGTTTCTGACCCAGGACCTACCATGCACCTTTATAATTGACCCAGACGCAGGTTCGAACGTAGTGCCATATCATTTATACAATAGGTTAAAAATTCACCTTCCCTATTTAAGTCTTAAAAAGCATTCCCCTGATCTACCAACCCTAAATGGTTTTACAAAAATAATAGGTAAATTGACTCTTCCTCTGACAATAGGCCAAATATCCCGTAAGGAGAACCTCCACGTGGTAGATGTATCGCTGCCATTTGGAATTCTTACCATAAAAACTCTTTCTCATTTTAAAATAAAATTAGATTATAATAACGGCACTATTTTCCAACTTGGCATCCCATTGTCTAACCCTATCTACCACTTTAACCATGTGCCAAATGAATGCACGTACGGGCTACGCCAAAACATGTCCCAAAGGACTTGCACTACACACAAATCTTTCACACATGGCAACCCTTGCATGCATTCATTGAACCAGACACAATTACCTACATGTCACAAATCTAAGCATGCACCACACAACTTTTTTACCAAACCCAATTGCCATTACTATATGCCCTCAACTCACAAAGCCACCACGGCTTCAACTTACAACCACAATGCCCAAAACATGTCCATGCAGCAGGACAGCTCGCACAACTATCACACGTCATACGTCGTCACGCAACAATCACGCAAATGTTCCTCACAACAAACACGACATTCACAACAAAAAAACACAGACAACATCCATCCAACAGGACGGTTTTCACGCTAACAACGCACGCGTCCATACGTCATCACACAACGGTAACCCACACCACCAGCGCAACAAACACGACACTCACACCAAAAGACGACAACAACCAACAAACGCATGCACAACCGTTAATAACACAACCATCCCGTCTACACAAAATATAGAAAAAATTCACGCCACCAAAAAACCACACAGTCGAAAAACATTGCGATCTTTCCTAAACGCTGTGAACGCTTATAAAGAGTTCATTCCAGACCACGCCCACTTGCTGACGCCACTTGTCAACCTTCTAAAAAAGGATGTCGTGTGGGTCTGGGATGACGAATGCCAGAAAGCGTTCACTAGCCTGAAAGAAAGCCTTACCACACACCTCACATTACACCTTTACCAGGAAGGTCTGCCATGCCAAGTGTACTGTAACACCTCAACACTCGGCATTGCGGGCATTCTTAAACAGGTCTACCCTGATGGGAAGACATACTCAGTTCAGCATTTCAGCCGCTCTCTGCGTACTCACGAGCGAAGTTATTCAGACTTGGAACTACAATGCCTAGCCATTGTGGAAAGTGTGGATAATTTCCGCGCCTGTCTAATGGGCAGAAAGTTTACAATACTTTCTGACCATCCCGCATTGCAGTGGTTGAAAGGGATCAAAGCCCCGTCAGGCAGATTGTTTCGATGGAGGTTAAGGCTGTCAAGATACGAATATGAGGTCCGTAGCATAAATGGAGTACAACAATATGAAACGGGCGTTGTAACTCGTATCCCATTTTGTGGCTTTCTAGATGCGCCACTCATAAAGAGCCAACAGTCTTCTCCACCGGGAAAATCTTGCGTGACTATGGATCACAATGGACTGCATACCGTCTCCCGAAAAGGTGTACTTAAAACTATAGTCCCAAGTTCACTTACAGCCAGACTTCTTAAGTCCGTACACACACAACACCACCATCCAAACATCTCAAAATGACGAGACTCATCTCTTCACAATATTATTGGCAGAACATGACACAAGATATTGCAAAACAGGTAAAAACCTGTCCCACCTGCCGATTCGCTAGGAGTATCGATGAATCCAACCAACCCCCACGTAAAAACACACCGACACAACCCACAAAACAAAACAAAATTCGTACACAAAACCTATCACACACACAATACAAACAATACCGAAATTACATCACCTACGACAGAGAAACGATTACACATCTCCACTTAAACTAACTACGACCGACACTTCTTTAACAGAACCATTGACGATCAAACAGGAGAACTGCGAACCTGACAATCATTTAAATCCTACCATTTTGTCCAAAAGACGATCCACGTCATTCTCCAACGATAAGAAGCGCGACGTAGAACGACCACAATTAAAAAATAAAGTTCAAATGGATATTCCAGAGCCACAGTTCATAACATCAATATGGGAGAACATGCGTCGATACCCCATCTTTCATCTGATTTTTGTTATTTGCCTACTATCTCTACCTTATAGATTCGTTCCATTCGTATCCACCGTTCACATACTAATCTATACCCTGTCTTCTCATAGAATTTTCGAGCTGCAAGAGGCAGTTTTTCATATAGGACAAGCACTTATAAAACTCCTAAAAATTCTAGGAAACATTCTCGCCAAAAACCTAGGCAAACTCCGAGGAGATAGAAGCAACTGAAAAATTAACAAAATCGATGCCGAAGGAAAATCACCAAGCCATTAAAAGAAGTAAAGGGCCATTAGTTGAACAAAAACCAATTAGGCGGCAGGAAGTGAGAATCATTTGAGCCGCAGCGACAAAAATATCGGCCAGCAGCCTCGTGCAAACAGAGGGTGGGAGTCACCCGCTTCCGGGTTTCTAATTACCATCTCCCCCTCGACCAGCAGTTAAATTAAAGCCAGCTGTGGACGCTCTCTAAGTGTCAGCCCAGTTTGGGATCCCAGTTGAACCTGCATATCGACTTTTACAAAAAACCTAGTTCAATCATATTATCACAAGAAAACTAACACGTGACACACACAAACACTCATAATGAATTCACATGTCTATTATAATTAATTCTTACTAATTCCTATTATTCCTTACAGACTTCCAACATTACATCACACTCCACCCCACCCCACACAGACGCTAGTTGAAAACACGTAGATCTCAAAGTCAATTACGAACAAAAGCACACACATTTGCCACTTAAAATTGTTAGGATTTCAGGTAACTAAGCTTTTCGAACTTACGTTTTCTCCCAAAAGGATTAAACGACCTTTTAGAAGGTTCGAGGATTCCCCTCGAATCCTGTATTCAAGGTTTTGATTTAGATACCGACACCCAATATAATAAAGTGGATATTGGGCGAGCACATCTTAAGTGCCCTAGGGAATCGCATAAAAACCCCTAGAACGCATTAAGGCTCGAGACATATTAACACACGACATTCGGCTTTTGAGATCTCAAAAATACAATGACACAAAGACAAAAGGTACACGAAAAGGTTATTTAGATTTCCATGTCTCCTGTATACATAATATAAATTCGCACTTGGGTCAGATCACGATTCTACCGCAAGTGTCGCAACAGAAGAGACAAAAAATTTATAGGGCAAAATTAATCAATTGAGAAAACTAGATTATGACATGTAGATACAAAAACGGGTTACAAATCTCACTATACATTTTCTTTGTTATATATCAATCATTTACATTATTTTCTAAAATTAAAATCAAAACATTTAACCCAATTTATCAATTTTATTCAATTTCTTACCACTTATTTTAGCAATTATTTACCATTTTATTTACCACTTCTTTTATTTTGTCATATTTCCATTTTCAACGAAAACTCATTGGTTTTCGGTTAACTTTAGACATTAGATTATCCTTTAATTTACAAAAACCTTTTTTTTTTATTTTTGTTTTTTCTTCATGCAACCAAGCATTTTTCTTTTTTTTTCATACAACCAGGCTTTTTCATTTTTCTTTTTGCAACCACACCTTCACTTTGATTTCATTCAACTTTATTTTATTTTATTTTTATTTTTTGATTTCTCAAAAGACCTCATGAAATTTCCTCGATTTCTTTCCCAATCTCGAGCAAAATAGTAATTAGGCAACTTTTCCTTTTTCTCACTATGTACCATAGTATTCATTTTTGTTTCACCATTACAATTTTTGATTTCTATTAATTATAAGCAAACTATATAGCATTAATACCATCCTTTTTTTTATCTCTTATATCCTTACCAATGTTTGTATATAACCTCCCTATAACCAATTAATTTTCACACAAAATTATTTTCTTTTACTTTACAGAACTTATTCAGGCTAAAACCCCTTCGTAAATTCTTCACATGTAGGGGGCGCATCTGTCATAATTTGTACATAGCTAGATGCAAACCCGACCCAATGTGTATAATGTATGTTTCAAGTTTTAATAAAGAACAAGGCTTAACAAATTTGGAGAGAAAGAAGGCCTAGAGAGAGCACAATCATTAGTAAAGTTTTTTATTATCCCGGAACTCGTAAAAAGTTGAGTTCAACAAACTAACACTTCCTGGTCAGGTTAAAACATGTCCAAAGACAAAGGCGTAGCATAGACCAATCAGGGAGTAACTCATTAGTGAAGGGCCTATAGGGAACTTCCACGTCACGCAGGTCAACCAATGAGAAGGAAGAAGAGTTTTCTTCTTAAATCGAGAACATAGAATTGGCAGTTAGCGCTTGGACAGCACCTAGTTAGGAGCTGGATCCCACCGAGATAGCACCTAGAGTTAGCACCTAGCCCTTGGAGCCTATCCCATCTCCACAAATCTCAGATAAGTCAAATATTCCGTCATGTAATTGAATAGCCAATAGTCAATCCGCTAAACCTTCTCAAGCCCTTCTCTCCTCCGATTAATTGCCTTATTTCAATCCCAATCAAGTGTATTCTGGTTTATTTCCCCTGTATGCTCCACTTCCCTCTTAAACGACTGCGCCATAATCAATCAAGCCCATTCTCAACCAATAATAAAAGACTTCGCAACGATATTGCGATATATTTATATTATATATAGTTTTAAAAATTGTAAAAAAAAAGATGCATCGGCGCCGGGAATCGGGGCCGCCCGCGTGGCAGGCGAGCATTCTACCACTGAACCACCGATGCTTATAAAAAATGGCCATATTTGGGTATTCATTCCATTCCGGATTACTCCGCGTAAAAAAAGTTCTTCAAATGAAAAAAAGAAATAGCCAAAAATACTAATCAAAATGTAGCCGAAATTTTTCCTCAGGTTTATAAAAAGCGACATGCAAAATTTGGTACCAATTGGTTCAGTAGTTTTTGAGTTTATCGCGAAACAGACAGACAGAAATTGATTTTTATATATATAGAGACTAGGCGAATGACCCGGCTTCGCCCGAGAAATCCCTTGGGTGCAATTTCCTTCATACTAAAAGTTTATCAATAATAAATATTAGAAGTGTCATAGAATAGCAATACAGAAATAAACAAATAAACTACAGGAAAAAAGTGTGTGTGATGGCAAAAATTGTATTTTATTAGTGTTTAGGTATTTGATTTAATTAATATAGTTGATATAAAAATATATATTTATATTATACTAGCGGACGTACCCGGCTTCGCCCGGGTTTTACCCGAGTAAAGGTTTGTCTAACGAATCTCTCGATAAAGTGAACATTTTTTCCCTGGTCCCTTGAAAAATACTCGCTAAGTTGAATAAAATCAATATTAATTGGTTCCCTCGGTAATTGGAAGTTAAAGGGATAGTATCTTGCCTTGGAATTGTATCATTATTCTTGTCTCAAATAAATTGCCGTGTCATCCTGAATTTTGTCTTTCCTAATTTTCTACATTACAAAATCATCGTATCATCATGATAATATTTAGAGCAGATTGTTGAATTATAACAGATAAATTAGAATATTTATCTTGATTATTTTTAGGCGAAAAGTTATTTCAAAAATTTTATTTGCTAGAAACCTTCCCGGTACTATACTAAATAACTTCCCAAAGTTTCATGGCGTTCCAATGAGTGGTTTGGTCAGGCATAACGGACAGACAGACACACATACATTTATTTATATTGTCACTGTATAATATTTGCATATAAATCCATTGTTGTTATTTTGGCCGGCATAAAAACTTTTGTAAATATGCAAATTAGTTAGTTTAGATTGCTATTTCTTTTCTTCTACTCGTCTCAAGCAGAATAAACTTTCAATAGAAAACTACTGTTCGCGTGATTCCTAATACTTATTTACACGGAAATCCGCGACATTTTGGTGGAGGCGCTGGGTAAATCCTACTAAAGAATAAAACGGCTGACTTCGTAAATTTGAGAAGAAGCCTACGGCTGAGAGGATTACCACCTGAGGGTCATAACAAGGAACCAACAATGTTGAAAAACGAACCAGGAGAAACTTCGGCTCAAGTCCCATCAACCTACATCTCTTTGCAGCAGCCAAGATATCCATCCACTTTCGTTGGAGATGGAAGTGAAGATGCTCAAAGGTGGCTGAAAGATTACCAGCGTGTGGCAAAGTTCAACAGATGGGACGATTCTATGTGTTTGGCCAATGTCATATTTTTCCTGGCCGGAACAGCCCGACAATGGTACGAGAATAATGAGGACCTACTGACATCCTGGGAAGTGTTTCAGAAGGCTTTGGGTGAAACCTTCGGAGAACAGGAGGAAGAAATGAAGAAAGCTGAGATCATTCTGAAGACAAGAGCACAGAAATCCAGTGAATCATCCGAGTCATACATTCAAGATGTGCTATACCTGTGTCAATTGGCCAATCCTCTGATGGACGATGAAACAAAGTTAGGACATTTGATGAAGGGAATAGCGGAGGACATCTATCAGATACTGATCGCTAAAGACGTTGAAAAAGTGGATCAGTTCCTAAAGGAATGCCGGAAAATAGAGTTGATGAAAAAACGACGAATAACTGCTAGGAAATTCGAAAGGCTCCCAAATGTGGCTCTCGTGGCTTACGAGGAGGAGGATCTTCCCTCTATGATAAGAAGAATTGTCCAGGAAGAATTTCAGAAGGTGAAAATACCCTCAACAGCATGCTTCCTTGGAGTTGAGCAGAAAGCTGAGAGTGCGCCTCTGGAGGATTTGATAAAAAGAGAGATTAAAAGGGAACTTGCTCCCATCACCGGAAAGAGTAGCTTCTCGAGACCCCAGAGGAGTTATACCAGGCCGCTGCCACCGCAAAGATCTCCTGAAAATTCCGAAGTAAGGAAGACTGACGCCTGGAGAACTCCAAACGACCAGCCGATTTGCTTTCATTGCGGGCGACCGGGACACGTGGTGAGATATTGTCGAGATAGACGACGTATCTTCGAGGAGGCTAGAGGAAGAAGAACAAACTATTTTCCTAACGCCGAATTCAGCAGATATGACGGGGAACTAGAATCTGAACTGAATAAACGCTACCGGAACCCATCTCCTTATCCTGGCCGCGGAAGATCGCCGTCGAGAAGAAACAGCACTCCGTCGCCTTCCCGCCGATCTCCTCGCCGCCAAGTCCAGGAAAACTAAGAGGCGCGGCCTATACAGGAGGTAAGGCCGCCGACGTAAGTGAAATTCCTCCCCCTCTCATTACTGCTAATATGAAACGTAACTTTGTGTTGATCTCCGTTAACGGACAGAATATTGAAGCATTGGTTGATTCCGGAGCCGATTTTTCGGTCATTTCTGAAAATTTTCGCCGACATTTGCGGATCCCGTTCTTTGTTAAAAAAGGCCCAATTTTACGAGTGGCAAATAAGAAATATGTCGAGACTTTGGGACGCTGCAATATACGAATCACCATTAAAGAGCTTGAAGTTCGTTTCAACTTTGTCGTACTATCTGAATGTAGCCACCATATAATACTCGGTTGGGATTTCTTTCAGGCCACAAATGCGATTATTGATTGGGGAACGGGCGAAATGCACCTGGAGGAGTGCGCAAGTCAAGGTATAGAAGATGAAGATCTAGCCGTATATGCTTGTGAAGATTGCATAATCCCAGGCCGCTCGATTAGTAAAATTGCGGTTATTAGTGAAAAGGTTCAAGGCGCAAAAGATCTGATCGTGGAGGGTCACAAAGATCTCCTATTGAAGAAAGAATTGGCCATTCCATCATCGGTCATCAACTTCCATCACGGAAGAGGAGACGTATGGGTGACAAATGCAACATCTCGTAACCAAATAATCCCTGCAGGTATGCTCGTGGGCAATCTAGGTAAAATTGGAAGTAGTGGGATATTCAGTATAGATATGGATGACTGCAAAGAAATTAGAACCAACATTAAAAACGAGGATATACGTCAAAATATCTTATCTCTAGTAGATGATACTTTAAGCAAAGAACAGAGATCAAATATGGCTGAATGTTTGATAAACTACGCGGAGATTTTTGACTTTGAGAGTAGAGCAAGTAGACCTTTCTCCGGCGTAAAACATAAAATAGACACTTCAGACAACCGCCCTATTAAGCAACGACCTTACCGTGTGTCACCTACTGAAAGGCGAGCAATACAGCGAGAGGTCGACAAAATGATCAAAATGGGAGTCGCACAACCATCCGAAAGCCCCTGGTCTTCTCCAGTGGTCCTAGTAAAAAAGAAAGATGGGTCATGGAGATTTTGCGTGGATTATCGAAGGCTCAATCGGATCACGAAAAAGGACGTGTATCCAATACCAAGAACCGATGATGTTTTGGATAGTTTAACGGGAGCCAAGTTCTATTCCAGCATGGACTTACGCACAGGTTATTGGCAAATAGAGATTGATGAAGGAGACCGTGAAAAGACAGCTTTCGTCACCCCTGATGGTCTCTATGAATTTCGAGTCATGCCGTTCGGCCTATGTAATGCCCCAGCCACGTTCGAAAGAATGATGGACAATCTGCTGGCTGGACTCAAGTGGACAATTTGTCTTTGCTACTTGGACGATATAATTGTCTATGCGTCCTCCTTTCAAGAGCACATGGAACGACTGGAAAAGACCCTTAAATGTATCCAGAGGGCTGGTTTATGTCTCAATCCCGAGAAGTGCCGATTTGGATCAAAGATAATCAAGGTATTAGGGCATTTGGTTTCAGAGGAAGGTATACGCCCAGATCCTGGAAAAATAGAGGCCATCATAAATTTTCCGACTCCAAAAAATACAACTGATGTGAGAAGTTTCATCGGATTATGTTCTTACTATAGACGCTTTGTGAGGAACTTCGCGAATAAAGCAAAGCCATTACACGAACTACTGAAAAACAATACTAGGTTCGTTTGGTCAAAGGAGCAAGATGAGTCGTTCCAGATATTGAAAGCAGCGTTGACTACAGATCCTCTTCTCGGCCATTATAAAGAAGAAGCCGAAACACATCTGCACACAGACGCGAGTGGACATGGCATTGGAGCAATATTGATTCAAATTCATGAAGGAGAGGAAAAGCCAATCGCCTATGCTTCAAGAACCCTCAACGCTGCAGAAAAGAACTATTCTACGACAGAGAGAGAATGTCTGGCCGTAGTATGGGCTATTTACAAGTTCCGGCCTTATTTATTCGGGAGGCATTTTACTGTAGTTTCCGACCACCATTCTCTGTGTTGGTTAGCCAATATAAAGGATCCATCAGGAAGGCTAGCCAGATGGGCTCTACGTCTTCAAGAATTTGACATTTCTATTGTTTATAAGAGTGGAAAAAAACACCAAGATGCGGACTGCCTTTCACGAAACCCTCTTCTAGACACGGACGAAAACAACATTCCAGAGTTGATCTCAATTACCGACGTAAGGAAAGAACAAGAAAAGGACGATCAAATTACGAAAATAATCCAAGGTAGCCAATCTAAAGGCGATGGAGTTTTTAAGTTAATCGAAGGTATTCTTTACCGCAAAAATTACGATCCCATGGGCAAAATGTGGCTTCTAGTGGTTCCTAAACAGATGAGAATTGACATCTTGAGGGAAGCCCATGATTCACCGATGGCAGGACATTTGGGATTTGCCAAAACCTACGATCGAGTTAGAAAAAAATACTTTTGGCCCGGCATGTACAGATCTGTGAAACAATATGTGTCGCATTGCAGAGAATGTCAAAGGCGAAAAGGATCCACGGGGCGCCCACCTGGACAACTGGTACCAATCCC